CCCCAATTTTGCCATTTACCCACATATCTCCTCTTTTCTCCATTTAACCACTGTATGCTTTGTAGCTCCCATTAGACCTCTCCCACACCACTAGACAGAGCCAACAACCTCTCCATGACCCAGCAGCTCACACACCACTAATAGCTGTACCATTATGCTGCAGAAACACAGTAAAACCACAAAATCAAGAAAAACAACCAAAAACAACCAAAAGAACACCCAAACCCAATGGGGTACTCTGAAGAAGAGGCCCTGGAACTACCCAAAACAGAATTCAGAAGAATGATGTTTAGGTCCTTTCAAGAGACTTGAAGAACAGTCATGAGGACAATGGATGAAAAATTAAAATCCTTAAATCAAAAGGAATACCAAAAAATAAAGAATGAGATGATGGAATTAGGCAGAATTAAGACTTGAGGAATAGAATAGAAAAAAAGGGGAAAAAATCAGTGAGTTCAAGACCATCATTCTGACTACAATCAACGAGATAAACAATCACCAAAAGACGTGACGGAATCTAAAGAAAGCCTGAGAAAGATGTGGGACATTATCAAGCGAAACAACCTACCATATATACTCATGTATAAGTCGAGTTTTTCAACACACATTTAATGCCGTTTTTGTGGGAAAATTAGGTGTCTTGGCTGATATTCGGGTTGGCTTATACTCGAGTATATATGGTATGTCTTATCGGGATCATAGAGCAAGAAAAAAAAAACAAACCTACAGAGGAAATAGTATGAGAAATCAGGGAAGAAAGCTTCCTCAACACACAAAGGAGGATAAAAGAACTATTCAAATAACTGAGAGAACTCCAAATAAGAGAGAGCCTAAAAGAAAACCTAATTACATCTTCTTATTAAACTCTAATTTCAAGGAAAAGAAGAGAGCCCTGAAGGCTGCTAGAGAGTCACCTACAGAGTAAAACCATTAAGGATAACTTGAGCGTCTCAGTCGAGACTATGCAGGCATGAAGACAACGGAGTAATATATGCACAATTCTGAAAACAAACCAAAAAGTAAAATAACTCTGTCACCCAAGAATCCTACATCCAGCTCAACATCATCCCTCAATATGAGAAAGGAATAAAGGTTTTTCTAGATGAGGAAAAACTAAAGGAATCTGTACAAACAGGACCAGCATAAAAAAAACTAACTGGATCACTATGAACAGAGCATCAATAACAACAACAAAAAAGCCTGAGCGCATGAGACAGGACCACACCACTCAGAAACCAATACAATGAAAACAACACTCACAATAACACAGACAGAGAGAGGAACAAAGACACGAATAAAATAAAACAAAAAGAGAAAAGAGAGATGGAGAAGAAACCAAACACCAACACAGCAAAATGAGAGCAACAAATATATCAATATATCAATGATGACATGACTGTCAATGCATTAAATGTACCAATCAAAAGAGAGAGAGAGTAGCAGACAGAATTAGAAAACCAGACCATGTTATGCTGCCTACAAGAGACACACCTTAAACTCAAAGACAAATGTAGGCTAAACATCAAAGGATGGTGAAATATCTTCCAAGCAAATGGCAACCATAGAGACAGCAGTGGCAATATCAATCTCTGGGTAAAAAAATGTTTTAAAGATATAAAGGCGAATAACATAATGAGAGATAAGAATGCCATACTACATAACAGCTAAAGGAACAATACACCAGGAACATACACTTTTAATAAACTTGCATGGACTCAATTAAAGTCTTTTAAAATACATCTATCAAATAGTAGTAGGAGGCTACAACATACCACTTTCAAGGAATGACAGATCATCAGGAAAGAAACTAAATAAAGAAACAGAAGTGATGAGCAATATAATCAACCAGCTCGACCTCTTACAGATATACAGAGCACTTTGCCCAACTACACCAGAATATACATTCTCCAGCACACACAGTGTATACTCTACAATAGATCATGCTAGAGTAAAGTGTGGCTCATGAGCCATGTGTAGTTCCTGTCATATATACATTGAAGTAAAATTGAAAATTAAAATAAAATTATCATAGTTTCATTTTTAGATAATGGTGATTTCATTGTAAAAATATATTTATGGCTCTTGAATAACTGTTAAATTGTGAAGGACAGGATTAGCTCTTCCATCTCAAAAACTTGCACCCCTCTGTGGTGGACCACAAAGCAAGCCTCAACAAATTAAAAAACACTAAGATCCTACAACCCAGTTTTTCAAATCACAATATTATGAAACTGGAAACCAACAATATAACAGGAACATAAAGACAAACACATGGAGACTGAACAACATACTACTTAAAAACAACTGGTGAAATAAGGGTGAAATTAAGAAATCTCTGGAAAAAATGAGAATGGACCAACATACTGAGGCTTTTAAGACACAGCAAAAGCATTTATCAGAGGGCAATTTATAGCAATCAATGCACATCTGAAAAAAGAGAAAATATCTAAAAGTAACATTAACACAACACCTCTAACAACTAGAACAAGATCAACTACATAAAGCCTTCAATAATAAAAGAAAAGAAATAAAAAAGGTAAGAGCAGAAATAAATGGGAAAACAAACTTTTTTAAAAAGGAAAAAATCAGTAAGAAGTTGGTTCTTTGAAAAGATTAATAAAATTGACAGGTGGCTCAAAACAGCAAAGGAAAAGAAAAAAAAAGATGCAGCTGTCTAGAATTACAGGTGGAAAGGGTAACCTGATCCCTAAACATCACAGCCATTATACTAAAATCCAACAGTCAACATCATACCCAATGGGGAGCACTGAAAACACATCCCTGTGTACTGGAACTAGACCAGGGTGCCCTTTATCACCACTTATTCAGCATCATGCTGGAAGTCTTAGTCAAAACCATTAGGCAACAACAACAACAACAAAATCAGGGAATACAATGGACAAAGGACTAATTATTAAAATCTATAGAATTCTGCAATACCTTAACAAGAAAAATCCAAGTAATCCAATTAAAAGTTGGGCAAAGGACATGAATAGACAATTCACAAAGGACAACACTCAAATGGCTAACAAACACATGAATGCTCACAATCACCAGCCATCTGGGAGATGCAAATCAAACTAATGATGCGTTATCACCTTGCATGCACGATAGCCCAATTCTAAAAACAGAGGACAACACACTCTACAGAAGGGAAGGAAAGACTGGCACTGTTATACACTGCTAGTGGGCTTGTAAGTAGGTACATCCATTGTGGAAATTTATATGGCGATACCTAAACAACTGGCAATAGAAATACCATGTGACCAAGCAATCTCTTTACTGGGCATAGACCTAAAAAAATAAATAAATGAGAGCAGAACATGAATAGGTATGTACTCTACCATGTTCACTGCAGCAGTTCACAATAGGAAGAAGCTGGAAACAGTCCAGACACCCATCAGTAGAAGAATGGGTAAAGAAACTCTGATACACACACACAATAGAATATTATGCATTCGAAACGAAAAACAATGATTAAACTCCTGATATGAATTGACCTGGAAACCATTATGCTGAGTGAAGTTAGTCAATCACATAAGACAAATATTGTATGAATCCACTACTACCGTTTCCCCAAAAGTAAGACATCTCCGAAAATAAGACCTACTTACAGTTTTGCCTCTCGCTGAAATATAAGGCATGCCCCTGAAAATAAGGCCCCCCAAAGCTACCGTAACTCTAGACTCTGGACCGTAGCGGCAGGCGCCAACGCACAGCTCACTGTTGGCCGCAGGGCAGCCGGAGCAGACAGGAAGTGTGAGGTCTCTTTTAATAAAACAATAAACAATAAATGTGTACCGTATTCTTCTTCATGGAAAAATAAGACATCCCTTGAAAATAAGACCTAGCGCATCTTTGGGAGCAAAAATTAATATAAGACACTGTCTTAGTTTTGGGGAAACGGTACAAGGACAAAAGCCAAGACATGGTCAGGCCTCTGCTGCTAGGTCATGTAATCTTCTAATCTGGTCTCCTAAGCCATGAGGTAGAGGGCCTTCCCAGTGCCCATGAACCACATATCACCCCGTTTATATGTACACATCTTAAAAATAATTTGGACAGAGGTCAGTTTTTCAAGATGTGAGGAGTGTGAGAAGACCATCCAGCTGCTGCCATACGACACTGTGCTAAGGTCACCCCTAATCAACAGATGCTCCTACAAGAGTGGTAAGTGAACTTTACTGGAAATTCAAGTCAAAATGTGGGAAG